GGTTTTTTTAATGAGAAATTTGAGCCGTTCGTGTAACCCGACTCTTGGGCGGCGGCGACGGTAGTCAAAACAATATTAAATACGCACGCACACTAAAACGATATGGCGTGTGTAATGTGTATGCATATACTAATAGTATATTCTTATATATTATGTATATATATATATATATATGTGTGTGTGTGTGTGTAATACAGCATTAGTATACAAATTACATTATAGGTTATATGTCACCGGAAATGTATAACGCAGTTAAGCAATATATTATTATAGATATATATATACATACAAATATACATAAACACGCTTGAACCCAATTGGATTGTGCTATACGGTTGTATATAATAGATTAATAGGTATTATCTATACCTGATGGCCGATGGGGTTAAATAATGAACAAATATCATCATCATCGCTATTATTTAAACATACGAAATGTATACGGCCGATTGCCGATTAATAATTGGTAAAATATCTTGCGAAATTCGTTATAGGAAAATGCTCACTCTTAAAATGCAACACTATCGCCGTGTCAAACATAATTCTATTAACTATAACGTACCGGGTACATTTAATGCACATAGAAAGATATTATAACAATATAAATGATAATAAAAACAAAATATTAATAAACTTTTTATGAAATGTAAATATGTTATACTATATAGTTATCATCATATGATATTAAGAATTGTAATACTATTGCAAAATGCAAAGCTAGTAAAGTTATCTATAAGTATACTTAAACTTATTATATACTTATGTCTTATACACTCCGTCTATATATTATACCGGTTACATATCAGTGGTTATATAGAAATGATTTTTATATGATGTAGGTACACAGTAACAATATGATTAATTATGATTATATAATATACTAGCAGATCCCGTACACTTTGTTGCCCGTTAAATGTATCAACTCTATATGACCCAAACTTTGTTCAATTCGTTATTTAATATTCGGTGTACGGTGTTCAAAATTTATCTTAACTTTTCCGTTGCCCGGAATAAAAATTCCGAATCGCAGCAGTAAATTATCAGGTAGGCAATCGGTAGATCGCGGACCCCGTTCTGTATGTACGTAAGTGTACTCTAAAGTAATTCAATTCTAAAGTATCAAAGTTATACCAAGTTTGGCGTTTTTAATTAATTCCACCTATATACGGTTGATTAAAATAATCGATTTATTTAATCCCATTAAACATAATTTATATTTAAAAAGTAAAGCAAATATATTTTTTTCTATTATTATTATTACTATAATAGCTTAAAACCTCATGGCAACCATTTATAAACAAAAATTTCCATCTGAAATCTCAAAATTCCCGATTGAGCACCTCCCGGGGTTAGTCCTCTTCCTTTTTAAATTAGCCTATGTTTTAAGTTGGACCAAAATACACACAGTGTAAACATTTCATCAAGATCGTTCCAGTAGTTTTTACGTGAAAGAGTAACAAAGTCACAAACTTTCGCATTTATAGTATTAATAGGATATATTGACAAAAAACAATAACACAAATCAACAAACATGCCCGATTAACCAATAGCAACCAATATAATATAATACACTGTTGAGCCACTGTTGTTTTTTTACATCCAGATTTCCTACTTTTCCGGTAGATTTTCCTAAAATTTTCTTTCGTAAAAACCTTCTCCTGGCAATTACAAACATCTTAAAAAAAAATTTAAGCCAAATTGGTCCAGGCGTTGTTGAGTTATGCGCTTACCAACACATTTTGCGATTCATTTTTATATTATAGATGTCTAAAAAAACGTTACAGTTTATTATGCAAACTTATACAATTGATTGATTTTTTCAGTACAACTTTTTTCGAATGATTTTAAGTCATGAAACATTATATTATTATTATGCTCTATATTTTAAATTTGAACTTAAAATAGCCAAAACAATAACCGTGTTTATATATTATTTTATAATTGTCGGAGACAGTATTAACTATACTTATAAGATAATTTATTTTATATTTTCGATAGTTCACTATTTAATTATAAGACTGAAAGTCTTATAAATTTGACTACAAAATAATTTTAAAATTTTAAAATTTTAAAATTTTAAAATTTTAAAATTTAAATGCTAATAAAAAAACCGTGGTAACATAAATTTAAAATTTTTTTTGGCAAGCCTGCACTGAAAGTTTGGTTTTTGATAGCTGTTGAAACTTTAGAAAGCGTCCTTTTTCCGTCTAGTGGGTGGTAAAGTGGAAATCCCCAAAAATTGAGCTGGGCGCACATATCACATACGAGTATCCCCTGCACAACCAGACACTGAAATCTGTACCACGGTCTACGGTCTTAACGAAACATAGCCCTGACTGAAATAGCTCACTATTCCCGCCCTTGTCACACAATATATATTATACTATTGCGTAAAATTCCCCGTTATTCCGTAATTTAGTGTTTTGTTTTTTCCGACACTTTTAAAAAATCCTGGGAATTTTAGATTTTGACCTCTCTAAAGTATATACTAATATAGTATATTCACTTTTCCAACAAATACCTATAAGATACTATTATATTGAAAATTTAAGTATTATTTCAATTACTTATCGTGCCTACATGTCTACATACACAAAAAAGAAAAATGTATCATTGTAAAATAAATACATTTATGTTCCTATCAGAATATAAAATACATGCATCTATATTCTATATAAATATATTCAACTCATATCAGGATTCAGGGGAGTCCCTGGACTTTTGTCTAGAGGTATAGCCTTGTAGGGGTAACCCCATTCTCATTCATCAAATTGTAACTATATAAATAAATAAATATTTCAAACATAAGACATGGAATGGCTGTCGCTTACCCTTAGAGACTCACTTAATATATGGTAGGTATCACAAAAAATCGTGCAATGTATAATTACTAATTTTTGTACGGTTTAACGGTTATGACGATTATTTACTCTGATTTTCTACATTATAGCATCTTTTCTCATAGGAAAGTGTATCTATAGTATTGTTACGTTGGGGGAGTCAAAAGTAAAACATTCCATGTAATTTTAAAAAGCATCGGGGAAAAACATTAAGGGAACTTTTAACAAAATTGATTTTATTTGTTTGGTGTAACTCAAAAGCTAATAATACCGTAGATACTTTAAATGTTGACTAAATGTTAATATGACCTTTCGATACATGATAAACATAATAGAACAATTTTTTTTTCTAGCTAACATTAAAATATTGTATGGAACATTCCTTATAAGTTTTTCTCCTTTTAACAAAATAATACAGTTAACCGAAAAGTAAAATTAATATTTTTGATAAGCGTTTGAATTCAGTTATTGCGATATTGGATATTCACCCGTAAACTATCAAATGTCCCATCAATTGATTTTGATATTAATTATTGTTCTGATTCAAAAACGAATAACTGAAAAGATGCTTGAAATTTCATTAAACGTTTATATTATAGTAATTTTTATACAATATGATAACACTATAAAAATATTTTGACTCTTTGAGCAATTATTATAACGATGAGACATTTTTGAATTTTATTAACTTTTTAAAATTATTTTTGATAAAAAATGTTTTTTTTTGGTTAAAATATTTTAAAATGAAATGCAGCTCAAAAGTATAAAAGAGTATCTAGTATTGCAGTGCTTTAGTATTTAAAGTTAAAATTTAACCAAATCACGAAAATAGGCAAATTATTTTGTAGTTAAAATTTAAAACGAGGTTTCTCATTAGTAGTTAATATTACAACTAGAAAATAAATTCATTCAGTTATTTTTTATAGACATTTTTAGTTAAAATTTGGACGAAACTAGGTATTTAAACGAATAATAACAATTTTAAGTATTTTGTTATAATATAAAAATATTATTCGTGGGTACTTGAAACAGTTGACACTTTTAAAGTAACTAAGTATATCAAGTGATATTTTTTCGGGGAAATTAATTCAACCTACTGTTAATATATAAATAACATCAATAGCCTTAATATCATAAACATTTAATATACTAGTAATATAACGTGTGTCCTCTATAAAACAGGGTACACTGTATCTATAAATAGTTTACCCATATTACTCAGTACTCTATACAGAAGTTTTAATTCTGTTTTCGGGAAACGAAACTAGACTAACAGATCATCAATATCCCGGAGATAGAATTCTAAAATATGTATAGCATGTACAGAGTAATGTAGGTAATTGAGTTATAGAGTGTACCCAGTTTTATACACGGTATAGTATGGCAGAAGGTCTTCGCTCAGAATCATCGTTCTTATGGTTTTATATCGTTGCAAAATTTAAATTTAAAAAAATATCCATAAAAGTGACCAAGTGACCTTACATGACTTGTAATGTACAATAGAATAATATTCACTTGTCCACCCTTTTTATATAAGTACCTACTCAATGCTGAATATACATACCCACTGGTCAAAATTTGAGCCGTTCCTCTAGACCCTTCTCACCACTCCACTTATAAGTTATAATTATTATGAATGCTCAATATAATTAATTTAAGACATGATAAATAACGCTAATAACTGCTAATAACTTATACATGCTTTATTTTTATTTAAATACAAATGTACCTACCTGTACATTATATTACTTCAACTAATAAAATTGAATTGTACAACTAATTTTTATTTATTACTTTTTTCCACGATTCATTCAAAATTTACCACACTTTAGTATGAGGTTTTTGTTTTTATCATGTACATTATTTCTGAATCAAGTACAGTGATAAATCTAAGAAATATTATTCATCTACCTACCAGTTGTTTATGATGTTTTTAATTTAGACAAATTATAACCATATATATTATATATTAATTAAAAACTTATAGGTATAAATATCTATGTATCGTTATACATAATTATAAATAATTGTTTAATAGGTATTACACCATTATAGAACTAAAAGACTATAGTCTATAATCTATATAGTATATATTATGTATTTTAACTATTCATATAATAAGATAATATTTATAACAATAATTATCGATTTTGTTTGCAGAGTTACATAATCGGCTCTCTCAAATGTTATTGGAACCACAGCAGCAGCACGGTGGAGTGGACGAAGGAGGCAACGAGCGGCATCGTCGCCATGGGAGGCACCATCATGACGAGCACATGAGTGACGGCGGTGGTGGTGGTGACGAGCAGCAGCAGCAACAGCAACAGCAACAAATGCTGTTACTACACCAACACCATCTGAACCAGCAACACTTACAACATCAACAACATCACCCGCACCAGCAAGGTCATCAGCCGCAGTTGCTTCAACAGATGCCACAACACCAACAGCAGCAGCAGCAGCACCAGCACCAGGGCAATGAACTGCAACAGCACCAACAAATGCAGCAACAACGCCAACATGAACAGTTGGACGGCCATCATCATCAACATCACCAACTACATCACGACCAACAGTTGCACGATCTCCACCACCAAAACCTACAACACCAGCAAAACCTACAACAGCACCAGCAAAGCCTCCAACAACAGCAGCAGCAGCAACAGCAGTACGGAGAGGTAAACCAGCTTGGTGGAGTGTTCGTCAACGGAAGGCCGTTACCTAACGCGGTTCGCGTGCGCATCGTCGAACTGGCCCGTGTCGGCATCCGGCCGTGTGATATCAGCCGTCAGCTGCGCGTATCGCACGGGTGTGTGTCCAAGATCCTTGCTCGATACCACGAGACGGGAAGTGTGCTACCGGGGGCCATCGGGGGCAGTAAGCCCCGAGTGACCACACCTAGGGTGGTGGCGTACATCGGCCGGTTGAAGCGCAAGGACCCGGGCGTGTTCGCGTGGGAGATTCGTGACCGACTGCTCGCCGACGGTGTGTGTGACAAGTTTAACGTGCCCAGCGTGTCAAGCATCAGCCGGATACTGCGCAACAAGATCGGATCGACGGGGCCTACCCAAAGTGCGGGTACTCAGCAGCCTGCGGCCGCCATGACCGGTGGTGGTGGCTTGTCGCCGACGACCGCCGCAGCAGCGCACCACATGTACGGACCGTACCATCACCACCATCATCACCACCCGCCCACGTCACCGCCAGCCGTAGCCGCAGGCTATCAGCTCCACCACCACCAACACAGCCAATATCACCACCAACACCACCAACTCTACCACAACCATCCCTACCAACAGCACCAACACCTCTGTTCACCGCCACCTCCACCGCCTTCATCGGGTCTACCCACCACCGTGCCGACAGGGACGGGTGGTCCAACGTGCTGTTCACCGACTGTACCGGCCACGGCGTCCAGGTCCTTGTCATCGCCACCACCGGTGCCACCACCAGTGCCTCCACCGCCGCCACCACAACACTGTTGGCCGAGTCCACACGCCGTAACTGACATACTCGCGGCAGCGGCCGCTGCTCAGCAACAGCACCAGCATCACCAGCACTTGCACCCGTCGCACTCGCACCACCTACACCCGTCACAACACCACCCGAACAGTCATTATGGCGTCGGCGGTGGAAGCAGTGGTGGTGGCGGCAGTGACACTGCGGCCGCCACAACGGCCGCCGCCGCCGCCGCTGCAGCAGCAGCAGCTGCAGCCGCGGCGGCCAACTACGACACGACGACCGGCGGTAGCGCAGCAGCCGCTGCGGCCGCCGCGGCTTACAACACGTACTGCAGCAGTTACTACCATCATGCAATGGTATACGCGGCCACAGCGGCTGGTAGCATCGCGGCCGCCGGCCGTCATCCGTCACACCATCTGAGCACGACGCCACCGTGCACTGCCGCGGCCGTGTGGCCCCACTCGATAGCACCGCCGCCGCCACCGCTGCCACCGCCACAGTCGCCGACGCCGTCACCACCGGCATCAGCGTCGGCGACGACCGCGTGACCATTACCGTGGTGCTGAACTCCCAGAGTGGCACACCGAACAAAAGAGACGGCGTACGAGATATAAGAGATGATCACTGAATAGAGAGTGTCATTTCCAGAGACAGTTGTACGCGATGAACGTTGTATAATATTATGTAACTGCAACGAGTTAATATTGTTACACGAGCTAAAGACCAAAAAAAAACCGAATTATATGTATTAATATGGATACATTTGTGTAATTGTGTTTATTGTATTCATAATTTGTATAATAACTGATCTTACGATACACCCTGCATTATGTTGATATTTATAGGTACCCGTACGAATACGAGTTTATCATGCTATGCGCGCATGTGAATTCATTAAATACGACCACATTATATCTTGTACAATTTGATTATTGAGAATAAGTGGCAGAAAAAAATTAAAAATTGTTCACTCTTGTCGCTTATTATGACATAATGTTTTACCTTTACATTATATTCATCTGTACATATACTGCCATTATATTATTATGTATACAATATACATATAAGTTCATACATAATAATATTTATTTAAATCTTTTTTGTTTTACTTAAGCGTTTATTATATATTATTAATATTTTACAACTGTAGTTGCGGTGGTTGTTTTTATTGTTGATCATATATATTGATACATAATTTTATCATTCATCATATTATACGTAGTTGACAATTAAAGTGCCAATACTTCAGTTATATTGGTAATTTTGACCGTCACTATATTTATAATATACCAGCGGTCGCCTGAATAACTGGTGTGTATCCAGTTTCAAATTTTTATAAATCTAAAAAAAAAATTAATATTATTAATATTACAAGTGATATGAATAATTAATTTTCATCGACTAGTATAACATCGAAAGGTAGTGAAATACTATTGTTATCTATATATGGATACTAGGTATGCTTTAAAATAAAAAATGTAGGCAAGTAGATAACCACTCTGAAGTTGACAGTTCAAATCCAGTGTTCCTTGTCATTGGAAAATTACTGTAATAGAAATGAATTGATAAATTCATACCAAAAACGTTACTGAGTGTAGAAGGTGGACTGTCAACCTATATATTAATATGTATATTTTATCATATATGTATATTGCAAATATCAATATCAATTATATTATTACTATAGGCGTATTAATAATATACCGTGTAATTGTATGAATAAGTATTATTAAAGGTAATAGATTAAAATTAATCTAAATGAAAATTGAATTGCTTAAAGTCAATTACAATAATGTACGTACACATTTTAAGTCGGCATAAATATTTTGGAACTAAACTAAAATGTATATTCTTTGTTTAAAATATATCTAATGAGGTCAATATTTGAATTTTAATCAGTAAAAAAAATGTTTACTACTAACTATTTTTAAAATTCCAATTAGTTAACTTAAGATCAAATTAGTATCAATTAGTTATCAAATTCTCAAGTAGGTATTTAAATTTTTAACTATAAAATAATTTTCGTAATTTTGATGAATTTCGTTACTATCTCAATTTCAGTTCTTAACTTAAAACGGCTCTTTTGAATTATTTATATTATTTAAAATTGTATCTAAATGTGGAGTAACTTATGAGAAACCTTGTGTAATGTTTTCAAGTTTCATTACACCAAAACAAAAATTGCATCATACTTAAGCCAAAAAAAAGACTAAAAATTACAAATATTTATGAATGTACCACAAAGAGGAAAATCATATTTTAAAAATTATGTAATTTTTAGTAAATTATGATAAGAATATTTGGTAAAAAATTATTTATATTTAAATAGCATCAAAAAATAAATTCAAAACCAGTTTTACTGAAAGATTCCCGTTTTTCGGGATATTTTAAAAAGCTCTTGGAATATTCTTTGGGAGATACATTTTGGTACTAAAAAACACCATCAAAGTTTGACATTCAAAAACAATACACACAAGGTTGTAAATCCAAAACATTCATCTATCCTATCAGAATCTAAAGCGAGTCAATATTTATTATTACAGGCACAAGCTATAGCTATATATCACTATTGAAATTCGAAAAAGATTTCATTAAATAATTTTGAAAGCAAATAAATTAATGAATAATGGCAGAGGCGTACTGGGAGGTGTCCGGCCCAGTGGGAATACGGGGTTACCGGCCCAAATATAAGTTAAATATAAAGTAGCATAACCCCCCTCCCTCCTAAAAAAAGTATACATATTTTCTTTAAATCTTTAATCACTTCTATATTATAATAAAATATATTGCTAATGTCTTGTAACCAGGGCTCGGGACTTAAAGCACTTAAAATCATTAAAATAAGCGCTTAAATAAGCACTTAAAAACATCATTATAAGCACTCAAATAAGCATTTAAAAAACTTAAATTTAAGCAAAAATATTTATTAAAAAAAACAACAATAGAATAAAAAATAAAACTTTATCTTTATATTATAAAAAAAATTAAACTTCATTTTCAGGACTGAGGATTTTATGGATTTTCTGAAAAATAAAACGTAAACAATATTTACAAATAGTTGAAAAAAAAATTAATTTTTTTATTTAAATTATTTTTAATTTTAATTCTATCAAAAACAACTTTGCAGTAGAAAATCATAAAAAAGTATAAAAACTGGTCAAAAAAGCAATAATTATCAGAAAAACTTTGAATAAGCATTTTTTTGAAAAATCACTGAAAAAAGCAAAAAAAAGCACTTTCAAATTTCATAATTGAATGTGTTGTAACATGACATACACTTCTATAGCACTCTGCTACATTTTAAGTCAATCTATAAAAATAAGCAAATGCTTTAAGTCCCGAGCCCTGCTTGTAACTAAAAATTTTATTTATATTAGAAGGCAAATACTGTAACATACTAATCAACAAATAGTCATTATTAGGCTAGGAATCAATATCAATATCTCTAATTAAATCATGCTCGTCTTGTTACTATAGCAGTAGAATTCCAATCACACTAAAATTTAAAAAAATATAATTTTATGCTAAATAGAAAATGCTTATAATAAATAATTTAATAATTTAATTGTCAATAATGTTAAAAACATTAGGTAGGTACCAATGATTTTTCTGTGGCTGTGCCTGCTTGGTTTTTAGTCACAGTAAATGCTAAACTTGAATCAATATCTCTTATTAAATCATGCTCGTTTTGAACTATAGCAGTAGAATTCCTATCACACTAAAATTTAAAAAAAATATAATAACATGCTAAATAGAAAAGGCTTATAATAAATAATTAACACATTTTTATTCTTTTTTTTTAAGTTGAATTATTTTAATTTATTTTTATTTAATTTAATTATTAAGAAACTTACTAATAACTTCTCTGCAGCTATATTGTTTTGATCACACTAAAATGTAAACAAATATAAACCTAATTAATATGCTAATATTAATGTCGTATATTATGTGTGTAATAAATAACTAAATATTTTTACATTAGGTAGGTAAATGTGTAAATTAAAATTATAAAATAAATACTTACTGGATTTTCATTATTCGACTCATTACCACTAGGTTTTGATTTCTTAAATAGGTACATCTAATATGTTTTGACATGATTGGGCTGCAATTTGTAATTAACATTTTTTTTTCGCGTCCTTTGGCAGCTCCACCTTTTGGCTTTTTAGAATTCATTATTTAAAATTTTTACAAACAAAAATAAAAAATAAAGTAAATATATCCAATATAAGGAACGACCCACTATTATAATAATATATGTCTTAATACAGACTAGTAGACCATACTAGATAAGAATACTATTATAGACAAGACTAAAGTTTGTAATGTGTACTGTGTAGCGTTTATACTTGAGCAGCAGTGTGCACGTCGTCACTTCGTCACTCGTCAGTCAGCAATCGGAAATTCTGAACTCGCGTAAAAATAATTATTAATTGTTATTTTTTGGATGTATATGGTATATCTATTATCTATGCTCACCCACACTGATATGATTTCACACATTTACATAAATGTACAATAAACACTAGAACACAAATACACAATACTACTAAAAACCCGTCAGCCACCACCCGACGACCAAACGATGACCTGCATTTAAATGGAATTATTATCCATATTACATTGTTATTTGTTTATTAAAAGTTATAAATAGAAGTATCACCGTACCAAGCTGAATTAAATGTATATTTTCTTTATTTTGTGTTAATAAAAACTTGCATTTATAACCATTTTATAATATAAGATAAACATAATAGACTTATTTTGATATAATTATTATTATTTTAGTTAAAATATTTAAATTTTAAATTTACATGGTTCGGCCCGGCGGCCTTAGAAAGCCTGCGGCCCAGTAGGACTTTTCCTACCTTCCCACCTGGCCAGTCCGCCTCTGAATAATGGTAAAAATGATGATTGAACAATTGTAGGCGGCAGTTGATAACATATAACACATACAGGATATATTTAGGTACACAACGGGTGTTTAGAGTGTTTATATTATAAAAAAAATAATTTATCAACTATGTCCGCTAAAGTTTTAAGTAGGTACATGTGTTATTTTAATTTATATAATTGTGAGATATAAGTATATAACCGTAGCTGGAAATGAGATATTTTTTCAAAAACGAAGATTATTAAAAATAATCTAAGAATATAGATCAGTCTATTAGTACTATTGCAATATTAAATATCAAGAAAATATGTGGGTCAGAGGACATCAACTTAAAACTATTTATAGTAGGTAAAATAGTAGGTACATTTTGTGAATAAAATGAAAAAAAGACTTAAAAATAATTTAAATTATTACATTTTATAATATGTATAGAATTACTACGCAAGACATATACTGCTTGGATGACTTTTCTTAAGTATCTTACACCTATCTATAACTGTATACTATATAATATAAAATATTATTCTTCTCTGGTATTACAAATTGTCAAGAGTTATTGCCGCCACTGACACCTCCTTCCAGTCTTCTCTATTTTATACTTTTTCTTCTATACAGTTTAATATCCCTAATATCTACAAGTCTTGCCTTATTCCA